TAATTAAACTCTCTTTGAATCTCTCTTTCAATGCTTTACTGCTATAGTATAAGGATTGCGACAAAAAGGTGTTGTCTTTTGGACACAATTAGTGCCAAATAAGCCGTGTTTTGCTTAACAACTAATCGATGTGTTTATGCCAACAGTTGCGTCAGTACCGCATAATAGGGCGTCGAGTGCCCGATAAGGCGAACCCTCAGCCACCGCTCTACCGGATGACGATCTTCGCACCCGACCATATCGTCGCCAAATCCAGGTTCTGGTACTTCACCCGAAAGCTGAGGAAAGTGAAGAAAGCCAACGGAGAGATCGTTGAGATCAAAGAGGTTCAGGAGCACAAACCGGCCGCCAGGGTCAAGAACTACGGCGTTTGGCTCCGGTATAACTCGCGCACCGGTACTCACAACATGTACCGCGAGTATCGGGACATCTCTGTGGCCAACGCCGTCACCTCTTGCTGTAAGACATGCTTTCCATGTGTTGTGTTGACGAATACTGACGAGTGGTGTGTATGTGTTGTATAGACCGCGATATGGGTGCCCGACATCGCGCCAGAGCCGACTCGATTCAGATCATACGTGTGGAGGAGATCCCGGCCTCGAAGTGCCGCAGAGCTCACGTCAAGCAGTTCCACGACTCGAAGATCCGATTCCCTCTTCCCGTCCGTTTCGACCGTAAGTTTCATTCGTCGCGATTCACGACTCGTATCCCCAAAGCAAGACTTCTTTGAGATGTTTATTATTTGAACGCAATTTGAATTTAAAATTAATGTTCATTTGATTTCCAAATAAAATTCGCGTTTTTTGATGACATTTTTTGTTTCAATTTATTTTTTTGTAAAACTTTTTAGTCATACCGTAATAACATTTGAAAACTTATTGTCATTTACTGGTGTTTCTAATGAATATAACTTTATTTTAAGCATTAAAGTGATAATTAAGTCTTCAACACATGTGTTGAGGTTTGTGGTTGATTTGCATCCAATTTCTGGATCAGTACTTTGCATCAATTCATTGAGCTCTTTGTGGACAGGAATGTAATGGATTTATGTTTTTGTCATTATGTCTAAATTTTGTGAGGAATTAATACTTATTTTAAATTATTATATTTTTTAAAACTTAATTAATTGCCATATTAAAAATTATAAGAATAACGGTAACAATTTAAAAATCCTAAGTTTAATGAAAACTTGTACTACAAGTACCTGTAATAAAACAATTTGATTTAATTATTAAGTAACTAGTATCGGTAAATTTTCAACAGAGTTATAATAAGTGACTGATATATTTATTATAATCAAGCAATACAGTACAGTAAGTTGTACTGTCTCAATGAATCCAGAAGTTATACATTTGGATAACAAAAAAGTTTTGGTGTTTATTATAATACTGTATCTTCTGAGGACTAAATATTTAATTGTTGTTGTATTTTGTAATTTAATTATATTATGTTTATTCGTATGAAATATGTGCCCACATATGATATAGACATACGGTATACCGTATAACACCTCCACAGCATTGTTCATAAATATGACACAAATATGAAAACTATTCGTAGAAATGGCAAGAATTTGGTATAAAAGGCCACTTTAATGGCATTACATGTCTTGAAAGTTATTAAATTCGCATCTAATGTATGGAAATAAAAGCCTTTATTTTTGTAGAAAACATGTTATTCTTTATATCAAAGTTCATAAAAACGGAAACTTTTTTATTAGTTTGGATTCACGAGAAGATAGAGTACTTAAGTGTAAAAGTTTTCTAACATTTCTCATAAAATAGTCTATTATTGTGTAAAACGTTGTGTAAAAAACTCATTTTGAATAACAATTTAAGTGAAAATAGAAGACAATAGTAAACAATATAAACGAAGGGATCGTAAAATTGGTTATGTCTTCACATTAGTGATGGCATTCCATTGGTTGTGCTCCACTCTCGGTGCTCCCGGTGCTCCCTATTCTCTCAATACATACTATGTATTACTTTTTATACTGAAATGTATAGTAAATTCACTTCTGAAGTAATCTGAGATGAAAGCAAAGAAGAGTGAAATCAAATGGAGAGAGCCTTAAGGCAGAGGAATGGGATGCGAGAGAGAGAGAGAGAGGGAGGGAGAGAGAGAGAGAGAGAGAGCTGTATGAGCATTGTATGATTGGTGTGCAATAGTGGATTGTAGGCAATAGTAGGCTATAAAGTAGTATATGGATGACGCGTATGTGACGGTGTGGTGGGTGAGTGAGAGTCTGTGCAAATGGATTGCATGTGTGTTGGGATTAAGGGTTGTGTTGGATGTGTTGGATGTGTAGGGGCTGTAATGTTTCTAAAGCTTATTATAAAAGTAGATAACATTATACTGTATACTGACAGTGAGAGTTGAACACAGAAGTGTTTGTATTGTTTTAATATTTTATATGAATTTATTTATCATTAATTTATTACTTATGTTATCATTTATGGCCCATTTCTGCACACAATTTGATCATTAGTTATACTAAAAACGGATTAAATTTAAATAAATTTGATGCAAAATAGTTGAATTTAATTTTAATTACTTAAAATAAGTAGTATATGGATGACGCGTATGTGACGGTGTGGTGGGTGAGTGAGAGTCTGTGCAAATGGATTGCATGTGTGTTGGGATTAAGGGTTGTGTTGGATGTGTTGGATGTGTAGGGGCTGTAATGTTGATAAATAGCAACTCCAGCCAACGTTGTGTTCCATACATCCATACAATTACTATTCTGTTGCCAAACACACACACAGTCTGTACTGAACTCTATGTTCTAAAAGCTTGTGAGCGCTCACTATATGTAGAAAAGGCGACAATTCTTGTGTGAGTTGTATAACAGGATAACAGGTTTTCATTATACTGTGTGCTGTCTATAGAAAAGTTAATTTTTTATCATTTAATTAATTGTTTGCTAACATAAAAGTGTTCGTAAAGTTGTAATAATAATAATCGTCATAATAAAAACATAACCATTACTTTTATCACACATTTGTTTATATAATATGTTTGAATTCAAATCAACTCATATTTTAGCATTAATTCGATGAATTTGTTTTGTATTTATATGCCATTGAACAGTATATTCCTGATAACTCATTGTTCGTATTTTCTATAGAGTATATCATTTCAAAATAATTAAATTCTCAAGTCATAAGAATAAGTATATTATTGTATATTAATGAATAGGGTTTTCAAATTCAAGTCTTAACTAAATTCTTTTGTATAAAAAATCAGATTTTTTACTGTTTAAAAGCTAGCGATTTTTGAATTCAAAATTTCAAGAATTTATAACACGATTGAAATATAACTTATAATACAAAACAATATAATTAATTACAATCACCAACAAACGACTAATAAGTAAAGCTTTCGATCAAAAACCAATTCAAAGATAGTGTGTCTTTGAATCCAACCGATAATAACGATTGCGAAGAGAGTGGTGACAGGAATTGGTATCAAAATTATTTGGGATAAAGTGAAGGCGTGTTTTGTGGCAAAGAGTGACAAACCATCGAATTCGGGCGCAACGGCTGCATGTGGTGGCTGTGGATGTCTTTCGTGCTTCGGTTCAAAGTCTTCGCAGAAATACGATTCACCCGTTCCTGAGGACAAGTATGAGAAAGAGAAAGAAACTCATACTAAACGCACCAAACTATTGGACACAAACCCTAAGCGAGACCACGACGAGGACGAGGAGGACAGCAGTGATCATAATAGCCAACAAAGGCCTCATCAATACCAACAACAGGTGTGTCACCGACAGCACGAACACGATATTGTAGTCTCGGAAGAAGTTTGTCATCAATCGCAGCATGAATTGCATGAGATTCAGGTAAATCATACAAACTCTGTTATTACGGTTCGTATTATTTATAGTCCTTTTCTCTCATATAAGTTATACTGTATATATAATATTTATACATATTCTCGTAAGTATTTGATATATTCAGTTATTTAATGTTCAGTGTTTAGCAAGAAATATACGGGTATTCAGAATGGTATTTAGAACTATTGTTTTCTATACAGTATACCGTCTAAAAAGTGTTTTACACCATTTCTTAGAAACTACACATTACTGTAATTGTATATTAATGAAAATATAAAGCAATTCCAACATCAAATATACATAGTATGTGATATTCAAGTCTTTTCTAAAGCTTATTATAAAAGTAGATAACATTATACTGTATACTGACAGTGAGAGTTGAACACAGAAGTGTTTGTATTGTTTTAATATTTTATATGAATTTATTTATCATTAATTTATTACTTATGTTATACTGGACTTTTGTAATGAATGAATGGTTAGGAAATCAAAGGGAAAGGCATTGAAATGAGTAATCACTGAAATGGCTAGTGGTTAGTGAAGAGGTAGACATGAAATGGTGACAAATGAATGGCTAATTGAGTGGTAATTGAATGAAAACTAATTGCAATCAATACTTACAGTTCCGGAGATCTTCATAGTCTTAGGCAAAGAGACTGATGGAAACGGAAAGGGATATCAAGACATTCAATACACACGTTAGCGCTGAGGGACTGCCATACCGTACGTCCACTCAATTCAATAACCTCTCGTTTGACCACACTTTACACCAAATGAATTGTATGAATAGTATTATTACCGGTGGTTATGATTTATGACTATAATTGTTTTATTAATTACTTTGGTGATTTATTTGTAAATTATAAATATTAATAGCATATTATTCAATATAAATATCAATCAATATGTGTTAAGCAAGTAGTGAAAGCATAGGTATAGACATCTGGTGTGCATTTGTGTTGACCATTCAAGTGCTAACTTTGTTTTGTTGCAGTTATTGTCATCACTTTACAAAAGTTTTTGTTTGACTTTTTAAAATTATTTATTAATTTAATTAACATTTGTTATATTATTATATATTTTGTTATATTTTTAAGATTAGATATGAATTATATTTGACAATCAAATACTATTTATTTATCTATGCAATGGTTTAGTACTTAATTGAATACTCAGAACCAGAGTTGTTGTCATGAGCTGATCCGTGTCTCACATAATTGATAAGAAGTGATAAAATGTTTTTATTTATAATTAGCTGTGAATTAACTGTCATTGTAAAAACTTGTAAACTTGTTTAACATATATATAGAAAATGTATAGCAATTGTATGCAATTGATTGCAATCATTGTATGCCATGTGTTGACACACATTGCGGCCAATAATGACTCAATAGAGATAACAGGCTTAGGATGGCATTCACCACAACTGGTATTTAGTTCCCGATATTTCTTCGTGTGGAAGGAGTGGGTGACCAAAGTTGTGATCACATCCCCTGATGATGGGTGTCGTGTTTGGCACCAAATACTCAATGAGACCCACTTTGAGCCCAATGTGACGATAGTTCGCTACAAACTGCTGAGTGATGTCTGTTTGGGTGGTCTGGAGATCGCTCTGTACGGCGACCCCAACCGCAAGCAAGTGTTGGCCCGAAAGGTGGTCACCGAAGACGTGTGGAGCGAGCGCTGTGTCTGCAGACGACACGATTGGTCGTATCAAATGAAATGCCAACAAATGGCGCAACAGTTCACACAAATTGATAGCGATTTAAGGTTCAGTCCATTAGATCCACGCCTTTCTGTGTCACCTATTCATTGGTTGTCTTGTGTTCAGTACTTTCAACACAAGTGATGGCATAGACTTCGATCGAGTGTTGGCCGAAATGCAGACACGCTTTGCGCCCCACAAGAGATCCTATTCTNCCACGCCTTTCTGTGTCACCTATTCATTGGTTGTCTTGTGTTCAGTACTTTCAACACAAGTGATGGCATAGACTTCGATCGAGTGTTGGCCGAAATGCAGACACGCTTTGCGCCCCACAAGAGATCCTATTCTTTCTGTCACTACCAGATCATCGACAATGAAGTAGTCATTCATTTGTCACTTCAATGAACTAATAAAACACTTTCTATTGACTCCCAAAAGGCATACAAACAGTGTTTCGGAGAATACGTGGGTTTCTCTCAATTCATGGATGAAATACTGCGATCACTGCTGTCGAAGACATCGCTTCCAGACTTAGAATTCGTGTCCAATTTAGGCGATTGGCCTCTCAGTGATAAACGCACAGAACCTCCACTACCGGTGTTCTCGTGGTGCGGATCCAATGAGTTCAATGATATCGTGATCCCGACGTATGTTAACTGCCTTAGCAGCGAAGTTTACGTCCAGAGTTAGTTTTGTGACCAGAGAGCTTTCTGTTATTTCATTACGGAAAACATAACAGAGAGTTGGCTTCCCAGCGTATTGACAGCTGTAAGACAGGCCCTTTGGCCGACAATCCATGGCATTCGACCACAAGAAGGAGATGTTGTTCTGGAGAGGAAGGGATTCCAACGAATATCGGCTCAAATTGGTTGAGTTGTCCAGAAACCACACGAATCTCATAAACGCCTCTTTGACTAACTTCTTCTTCTTTCGCGACCAAATGGAAGCGTTGGGACCGAAGTCGCCATACATTCCGTTCTTCGAGTTCTTTCGATACAAATATCAGATGAATATCGACGGAACGGTCGCCGCCTATCGTCTGCCATACCTATTGGCCGGCAATTCTCTGGTCTTCAAACAGGACTCCAGTTATTACGAGTTCTTCTATAACCTGTTGGAACCGTACGTCCATTACATCCCTGTTCACAAAGAACTCAATGATTTGATTCAAAGTATAGACCAAGTGATGCAAAATCCTCACAAATCGCACCAAATTATCGCTAATTCAAGACAATTGGTGTTAAATAACTTATTACCCGAACATATCTATTGCTATCACTTTAATCTGTTCCGCAAGTACTCAAAGCTATTGACCACAAGAGTTCAGTTAAGGCCTCAAATGATGCGAGTATTCAATGAGACAGATGTCTGCAAATGTGCACCAAATCTAAGACATGAACACGAGTTGTAAGCAAACTATAGTTCAATTATCAATAAAAGTATGTCTTGTCAATGGTATGGCATTTGTGGTCGTAATCAGAGATAATGAGTGTTTGAATGCAATACAAGTGAACCACTGATTCAGTGATTGACTCACAATTGGCGCTAATTATGGAGTGGATGGTTGGCAACCAAATGTAAACCAAATGTGAATCTTTATAATAGTTTACACTTTAAGGTCTATAACATTAATATAAATTTAAATTATTTGATAAAATAAGTTTCAAAATGAACTATATTTCCATAAAATGTTTTATTAATTTACACTAATTATAACAAATCAATCAATCAATAGATTATAAACCCATTTGAGAGCATATATGAGAACCAGTGATAAACCTCTTGAATGCCGTGGAGTCCACTAATGGATTACTACAGAAACGACTGGTTCTGCGTAATTGACGGAATCGTCGCTTCAAATGCAGGTCTCAATCAAAACACTGGTCTCTCGAAAGACAATAAAGTAATGCCTTTTGTATTGTCTCTCAACCGAAGGGTCGCATAACTGTCGACATTCTGTCCGTCTTTGGCCGACAATCCATGGCATTCGACCACAAGAAGGAGATGTTGTTCTGGAGAGGAAGGGATTCCAACGAATATCGGCTCAAATTGGTTGAGTTGTCCAGAAAGCACACGAATCTCATAAACGCCTCTTTGACGAACTTCTTCTTCTTTCGCGACCAAATGGAAGCGTTGGGACCGAAGTCGCCATACATTCCATTCTTCGAGTTCTTTCGATACAAATATCAGATGAATATCGACGGAACGGTCGCCGCCTATCGCCTGCCATACCTATTGGCCGGCAATTCTCTGGTCTTCAAACAGGACTCCAGTTATTACGAGTTCTTCTATAACCTGTTGGAACCGTACGTCCATTACATCCCTGTCCACAAAGAACTCAATGATTTGATGCAAAGTATAGACCAAGTGATGCAAAACCCACACAAATCGCACCAAATAATCGCTAATTCAAGACAATTGGTGTTAAATAACTTATTACCCGAACATATCTATTGCTATCACTTTAATCTGTTCCGCAAGTATTCAAAGCTATTGACCACAAGAGTTCAGTTAAGACCTCAAATGATGCGAGTATTCAATGAGACAGATGTCTGCAAATGTGCACCAAATCTAAGACATGAACACGAGTTGTAAGCAAACTATAGTTCAATTATCAATAAAAGTATGTCTTGTCAATGGTATGGCATTTGTGGTCGTAATCAGAGATAATGGGTGTTTGAATGCAATACAAGTGAACCACTGATTCAGTGATTGACTCACAATTGGCGCTAATTATGGAGTGGATGGTTGGCAACCAAATGTAAACCAAATGTGAATCTTTATACCGGTATTAAAATTGATAATTGAGTAAATATATGAATTCCTGTATATTTCAATAATTTATCCGGTAGAATCCAAGTACCTGTTTGCCAAACGGCGCGATAGGATATACGGTAATCCCATGAGAACCTGTCTATAATAGTTTACACTGTAAGGTCTATAACATTAATATAAATTTTAATTATTTGATAAAATAAGTTTCAAAATGAACTATATTTCCATAAAATGTTTTATTAATTTACACTAAATTATAACAAATCAATCAATCAATAGATTATAAACCCATTTGAGAGCATATATGAGAACCAGTGATAAACCTCTTGAATGCCGTGGAGTCCACTAATGGATTACTACAGAAACGACTGGTTCTGCGCTTCTCCTCATTCAAGAACTCAATCCAATGAGTGATAGTTTTCTTGACGTCTGACAACGTCTGTGAGGCTCTGAATACTTGCCTCACAATTGGCTCAACATTTCTGTATTGTTTCGATTGTATCACGTCTTGCATTGTTTTGACCGTCGATTTGAACACTGATTCCCAAATGTCTTCAATTAGTTTATTGTCCAGAGTTTTGAACTTTTTGTTCACATAATCGCTGTATTTGTCAGATATGTCTGCGTTCAACACATTCAGCACTTTATCGATGTCTATGGCTTCGGCAGAACCCAACACATCGTCGGTCACATCGACCACATGTGCCACACCTTTGACACCATTGTCGGTGTGACCACTATTACCACTATTGCTATCACTATCGGACTCACTGTTGACGAGATCGATGTCTGTATCACTATCGTCGACAATACTATGCGTTTCAGTGATGTTAGAGTTTTGTACACTTAATGATAGGATGAGGTGCGGGTGCTGTGCGATGGCGTGTCTCAGTGTGTGTCCGTCTTCCCAGTATAGGAAGAGCACCGGAATGTCGACGTCGTCGTGTCCGTCGCCGGACATCGCGAACATAGGCGACGACTTGGAGCTCGTGTTCAGCACATTATCCACGACTATCACACCAATACCTCCGGCCCTCTGGACGTGTCTGGCTTTGTCCACAAACATACAGTCGCCGCGCTCTACCACCACAATCTTGCCGCTAATTCTCAGGCCATTCCTGAGCGGCCATTTGCACGCATTCAACGGCTCGGACAGCACGACATTGCCGTCGATGGACTCGTCGATGTTGGACAAGTCGAGTCCGAACTGCGCCGGACCCGCACTCAACACCATTCGCACCATGAGATCACTGGAACCACTCTTCGGTAATGCGAACGAAATGGATCTCAACTTCTGTTCGCTTTGAATCATCTGTTGTTTGGATAAAGCGATCATCTCTTGCATGAATTGAGTGCCTTCTTCGGCGTCCTCAGTGGTGGCGGCGGCGACGCTGTTGTGCACCAATTGGACCCTTCCGTCGGCCAATACGACGACAGTAATGCCCATCTGTTTGACGATTTCTAAGTGCTCGCGATTAGTGGCCGAGAACTCAGACGCTTTGAGTTTTGCAAATCGCGATCCTTTCGAGCGCATCGGCTGCTTATAATTGGACGACTGACTCGACTTCACCACAAAGTCTTTCATGTTTGTGCGAATACTGTTCCCATAGTTGAGTCCGTGATGTTTGCCGAGTAATAGCCGAGTATTAGGACATTCGCGGACATACCTCTCATCGCTATACGAGAGTAATGTCTGTGCCCTTAGTTTGTGAGTAGTTTTGCCGCCCGTGATGTTGGTGTTGGCCAACCACAGGGGCAACAGATGTGCTTCAGTGGTGAACACGAATTCATCCAAATCTAAATCGATGTCTTCTTTTCGAGCGAACAATAAGTAAAGATATTTAAGAGTTTCGGCCAAAACGAACGAATCCATGCGGTCTTCGTGACCACCGGTTCGCACGTCTTTGACGGACGCGAAGCCGCACTCGACTCGTGCCAACTCTTGCAGACTTGTGAGCACTGTTTTGCCCACTTCTAGATAGTGGGGATCACCGGTCGCTTTGTACAGGAAGTAAGTGCTCTCCAAGAACTCAGGCCTCAACGGGTGATGAGCCCAATGGACGTTGAAGTCTGTGGTGAACGCTTCGGGAAGGAAACCGTGTTTTTGCGTCACTTGATACAGCATTTCGTGAGTCTCAATGGCGGGCTTTAAGTCCCCTTTAAGTACTTGAAGGCCGGGCCAGAAGGCGAGCAGAGAGTCCATGAAATTCTTGGCCGGACTGTGGGGTCTGTGCATCATTACGTCGACCAGCAGTGGGCCCTGACTTACATACTTCATGACACCCGCGTAATGACGATTAAAGCGCTCCAAATAGCTCTCATCGCCTAATAGTATGTATGCCTTCAGACAGTACTCGTAATACGAGTCAATCCCAGCGCCAACACCCGACTCTCGTCTAATCCAGTCTCCCGTATGAATATTTATGACATTCCCCACTAAGTCGGACTGTCGGTGCCTCTGTGCCCACAGATAATCCATGGCTTTGCGGGCTTTTATCTAAACGATTATAAAGTATGCAAAATATAGCCAAATATTGTCAGCTTATGACTCGCGAAGCAAACCTCAAATACAGGATCGCCTGTAAGTCTGCTTAAGGCGGCGAACTCTAAGATTCGGGCTTTTATCTAAACGATTATAAAGTATGCAAAATATAGCCAAATATTGTCGCTTATGACTCGCGAAGCAAACCTCAAATACAGGATCGCCTGTAAGTCTGCTTAAGGCGGCGAACTCTAAGATCATAGTCCCGGCACATGAGGTACAGGTCTCGCGAGCGGAGCCCAGGTTTGAGGATTTGAGACCATGTCTGAGATTAATCTAAACGACAATAGAGTGTCAGTGAATGGCACCGAATGGGTGACGGTTTGCTCAATGATTACTCTGGGATGAGGTATTCCAGTGGTTGTATTAAACGCAGGCAATAGCCGATAGCCCAGGTCTTTGGCCATCTCCAGCAGTTGACTCGAATACCACAGCATAAGACTGTACTTCTCTTGCAAATAGTGGGCGAGTATGTGAGCGCTGATGAGGCCGCCCACCATCCGGATGTTGGTCTCGAACACCGACACCACCACATCGGTGTCGAAGTGCACGTGCCGTACGACACGCGCCACAGACTTCTCGAACTCACTGTAATTGCCGAATATCTGGCGCACGGAAGGGATAATCAGACATAAGATAACACATTAGATAACACATTAGGAGGCAATCATGGGTGGGATCTCTCACCACAAGCGAGTCCAGCGTATCGACGAGAGTCAGCGAGAAGTTGCCCAACGCGTCGTCCACATCACCCCTATTGGGCTCTGAGTGTCGGTACCGACCCTTACAGGAGAGGGGCATCAACTCGTCGGCCGGGAAGGCGTACGTCATATACGAGTCGTACGCGTGACTAAACATCTCTTTGGCCTCATCTCTGAAACAGACAACACTTGGTTTAGTCCACCATATGATGGCATCAATGGCTCATTCACTGCACGCATACCTCAATCGGATCCTCTCGTCGTCAGACAAACACTCAATTGAATGACAAATAAATAATATAAACAATAACTCTATGAGTAATGCATTGAATCGCCAATTAGTCAATCCATTCACTGATACACACATTATTCACACAAATTAACAAACTTTGTAATCAATGTTATGACAAAATATAGAAATCTAGTCGTATATATATATATATATATATATACAGTGTATATATGTTACAAAATAAACTATGCTGGGTGCTATGCTAAATAAATATTCGGACAGTTAGCTGTGAGACGCGTAGAGTATTGCACTAATTGTTTGGTACGTGTGGTCATAAGGTTAGATTAACACCTGTATGCCAGTCGTGCACACGATTGAGTGTACGCTCGGATTGAGTGGACATTTACTCGTGATTGGTGGCACACATGTCCAGACAATCAGTCCATGGATCCAATGGTTGGAGTCATGTTTGGCTGTAAATCTGCGTCAATGTTGGCGACAATTAGTGGCGAATAGTGTTGACAATTGACTCACTGTTTACATTCCATGTCATACACTGACAGTCACCCAAAGTGCGAAATATGGCACTCACTGCCACCTATTGCACAGCCATTACATCATTACAGCTATACTTTTCAATTCACTTTTCTCTCATTGAAAACTTTCAATCAATTTGGATATCAATTAATTTATTAACATGATTCATTTAATTATCATTTTAGTTATATTTTTAAAATGTTTATTTTTAGGCTACTTATCATTAATCAACAATTTTAGTTGTAATTGTAATTGGTGATAAATTATTACTTACTATCCTACTTATTATAAATTACTACCTATTGAAATAGACCTTGGAGTTTCCAATGAGAATTTCCATATTAGAAACATGTAGTCATATCTATACTTTTAAGTTATTGTACATTTATTACTTTAAATTGACACTGTTAACTATAAAAGCAATGATTTTATTAATTCATTCAAAGAGTAATGGTTTGGTTGTACTCGTCGTGAAGCCAGGGGTAGTCGTGCGGGCACTGGACGTCGTTGCAGATGACCACCAGTTTGTCCAAACCCTTGAGCACATCGATGTGTTTGTACTGACAGTTGCCTTTAGGGACCACTAAATCAGTTTTGCCGCACTTGTCCTCAATCGGATGTTTCACACATGAAGTTTGCTTATAATTCTTGAGAAGTGTTGCCTCTGATCCCCTTCCCATCCAATCGATCAGTTCGCTAATGGATACGAAGTAGACGTCCTTTTTGGCGGTCAGGCTATCGATGAACTGAAGCAATGCTGTCCTTCGGTTCTCGGTGTGTGAGAGCCAGGCGTCCCTCAGGAACAGCGGAAAGGGAGCTCTGTTTGCGGTATAGAATCGGTTGAAGTTCTCCTCAAACACTTCGACGAACTGCTCGACCGTCGG